CTTACTTGAAGTTCAAATAAATATTCCCGAGGAGACACCGTCAGGGAAGCAGACTTGTCGAACTGAAATGTGACAGGAGGGAACCGATCTAACCTGTGAAATCGACAGTAAATCAAAACTCCAAACAGCATGTACTTGAAGTATAAATCAGTCACCCACCAGTATCATTATAAAACCGACTAACTCAGTTTCAGTTTCAGTTCCAAGAGCACAAACTGGTACAATTCCACCAAATGACAGTAACATTGCAAACAAGAACGAACACTAAACATTGAGAACGACAAAGCGATGAGTTAGAATCTTACTTATCGGTATAATGGAAACAGATAAACGACTCTTGAACTGAATGCAAAGTAAGCTCTGCATGTGAATCCAAAATCTGCCGACAACCAACCCCCAAGAAAAAACAAACAAAGTGTTAAGAACTTTATAGTAGAAGACAAAAAGAAATTCACAAGTAACAGAAATAGCATTGACCTCACTCATTAACGCCTTAAAAACAGCATCAGGAAGATACACCAGAGTAGTACCACTATCGACAATGACTCCTTTGTCATCTCCCGAATCAAACGCTCCCGAAGAAAGTTTTAAAACTGAATTACCAACTTGAATTGAATTGAGGTTAACACTATAGTGAGATCTGTAAAAAGGTCATAATAGTATATAAGAGAAAATCAAAACATTTTCACAGGAAACTGAAAGAACAGAGTTAAGAAAAGGCATTCACTTACGATGTAGAGAGCATTGGAGTAGTCTTCACTTTCGGTGACACGACTTCTCCAATAGTGAATATACCACCTCCATTGTTATTATCCAAACAATGTGCAAAAGACCTTTTAACCTTTCTTTGTGAAGCTAACTGAGATATAAACGATGAATTCGACTGTCCAAATCCCATTATCCCATCAACTGCAGATACTGATTCACCAAGCTGACCAGACTGTTTAGATCCACACCTGTAAAAGACCGACAAAAAACGGATTGAAATTGGCACAATACATAGAAGAAAGAAGCTGTTTCTCTCTTAAAACTCACCCGAATATAATAGTTCCGTTGAAGGAACCGGTTTGACGATTTCCAGTAACTAAATCCAAATGTACAACATCTCTCACTAAGTATCCACTAGTGGAACTTTCATCTCCATAGAGAATAACATATTGGCAAGTGGAACCTGAGTGACACTCAGATCTTTGGTTAACGTAAGAGCAAAAGTTGTCACTACACGAAACAGATTTTGCAGTTGATGAAGCATCAGCATCATAAGGTGATAGCTCTACCTGAAAAAGATAAAAGAGAACTATGAAACAAACAAGAAACTACAAAAGTAAAGTCTTGTTTTTTTGTTTGTGTGGGGGGGGGGGGGATAAAATTGATGTTATACCAAATCACTTTTCCTAGGACAACTGACGCAACCAGCACAATTCACCCATAAGATATCACTTCCTGTATCAACTTGGACATGATAATCTCTTGATGGAGTTCCAAGTCCGATTTTAGTGAAGTATAAACTGAAATGAAACAAAACACCAAAACAAGAACAAGAGTCAATATTTTTACAATTAGCAAACACAAGAGCAAGATCCATTACATACATTGGTTCTAAATGCGTCAATGACCCCAAACAAACAGTTGAGAATCTCAAAAGATCAAAAGCTAAAAAAGGTTCCTTTTTTTTCCAGATTCCAGACAAAAAAACCGACATTTTTTTTTGCATAAAGTCTCAATTTTTATTTCTCTGAGGAAAACAAAATTCCCAAATTACAGGTTTTGATTATGGTTATGGTGAATTCGAACCCAATAGACTCAGGCTGGCTATCGCCGCCGAGAGGAAGATCGATGTCGGAGAGAAGCCTAGAGTGACGGTGAGCGTCGTGAGCTTTGAGGGCTCCGAGATCTTTTTCTCTTTTTCCGGCGAACTTGCTTCGAACTTTAAATACTAAATTCTCCGGAGATTCCGCCGCCGATAACTGCGGCTGAATCAGTAACACCACGACCGCCGCCGCCGACAGAAAAATCGCCGACAAAGAGCATTGTCTCCGCCTGAGATCCATCCTCTGTAAACAGTGCCGAGGATATTCCTAACTTATAAATCG